TCGGCTCCCTGACGCAGGAACGCGCTGAACGTGAGTGCCTCACGGATGGTAGCCGACTCGGAGTGAATGTCCATCTGCTCACAGTAACCCGTGGATCGACGGATAGAGAGGTCGGTGGCCGGGTGGCCATTCAGCAGGATCTGGCCGGTGATCTTACCACCAGTCTTCCTTCCAGCGATAACGTCCATGAGTGTGGTCTTACCAGCACCAGAAGAACCCATGAGTGCCGTGATGGTACCGGGTAGAGCGTATCCACTGATACCCTTGAGCAGGTCGATGGTGTCCTTGGGGTTGGCCGGGTCAGGCACGGTATACCAGAGATCCTTGAACGCGACGGTAACCGGGGTAAAGTGCTTTTCTCTGTCATGGCCAATCGTGACCACCGCATCGCTTCCGTTCGGCGAGCTGCGGGGAGTGTTCATCAAACCATAGTCGTCCGAGGCACTGCCCTTGTGCTCTGAGTCTAATGTGACGTTCTCCGGGTTCTCAAAGCGATGGTATTCCAGTGCAATGCACGACAGGAACATGAAGAAAACGTACGCGGCCGCCATGTACACCAACCCATACCAGATCCACGATTTCTCCGTCTGAATCTCGAAGGTCGTCAAAGAGTACTCGCCCATGGTCATGTTGTAGTTGGCACAGTAGTCGATGCCGTTGTACACGCATGTATCGAAGCTATCATCGGAGTACTGGTTAACAGCAAGTGCGCGAAGACCCCAAGTCATCGGGTCGATCCAGTAGATCCAGATGAGGTAGTCCGGGATCTGTTCTTTCGTGATGACAAAGCCAGCGAACAGAACGAAGAAAAGGATCGAAACCATCGACACCGGGTTGGCCACGTTCAAATTGGGAGAAGCACACGATAGGAAGAAGAACCAAGCCGTGAACGAAAGGTTCAATAGGAGCAGGATCATCTCGAACAGGATGAAAGCTTCCACTGTCGACACGCAACCACACATCCAATACACGATAGAGCCGAACACCAAGCTTTCCATGAGTCCCAAGGGAAACTGAGTCACCGAGTTGGACAACACAAAGGAAGTAGTGCGGAAGAAGTTGGCTCGGCGCTGCTTGTAGAACACCTCACGAGCGGCCATGAACACCGGAATCTGCGATTGCTGACCCAACGACACAAACTGCACCGCTGTGAAGAGAATTCCCAGGACCAGTTGAGCATTCGTCTCGTCGAACTGATAGAAGGTGCTTGCATATAGCAATCCCATTAGGATCACCATAAAAGAACGACCGAACAAGAAAGCGGTATCGCGTTTCGTAAGCTCGATCTGTCGCTTCACCACAGTCATCGTGCTATCCCAGAAGTTCTGGTGGAATTCGGGGATCGGGTCAATGTGTTTTTCTTGGTCTTCGATCAGGCTCGGATGGATTGGTTCGTGAAGATCTTCCATCATACGCTCGTAGATGGCTGAGCGTTTGAATAGGTCGGCATACTCGCTGGCCGAGCGCGGGACGGGATGGATCGAGCTCACCTCGTACTGAGTCTGCTTGTTGGTGCCCAAGTCCAGCAGGAAATCAGCGACGTCACGGCGTGGAGGACACTTGAAGCCCAGACTCTCGAAGTAGCCCAAGGCCTCAGCACGCG